CACGCTAGCTGTTTGCAGTTCAGAGTGACAGAAGTGAGGAACAAAGTGTGCCCAGAAAACTCCTCTGCTGAAAACAGTGACCTTGGCATGTGATGCAGTTAGACAGTTCTTAACTTAGATGTAATAAAATGTCTTAACTTAAAAATTATATATTTAATATATTTTTTGTGGCCAAGGACATCAGATGAAAGAAATAAAAACCTTCGTAAACATGCCGATGGCATGCTGATGAAAGGGGAAACTGTACACTCGTGTAATGCTTGTCAAGATTTCCAGACTTCATCAAAATCAAACAAGTTTTTTGCTTTTTGGTGCAAAACAAAATCGTGTCAACACCATCCGATAATGTTTCAAACATACAGAAATATAAAAGCAGCAGCAAACGTTCTTCTTTTCTGACTTAGAGAAAAAGTGAAAACGTTCATTTCCGTTAGAAAAGGGTTAAGTTTAGCCAAACATTTCTAACTGGTGACCGATTCTTGATCACTAAGTTAATCCACATCCTAGTCAGGTGGGTCTTTAGAGAACAATGATCAGATAATGTGACCAGCACACAGACGCTTCTTTAACCGGCGACTATAAAATACCACCTTAAAACTTCAGCTTTACTCAACTGGCACGATGAAAAGAGAAAGTGGAGAGCAGGCTGTTGTCATGCTGGATGCTGGCATGTCAGCTGGGGTCATAGCCAGACACCTGAGTTTACACAACACCACCACTGGTCCTCTAACAAATCATTTTGGACGGCTCTGTCTGTTGGGCAACACGATCCTGTTCCCCAAAATGTCCACCAACTTCACCAAAGCCCTTCAGGAAGAGCGGGACAACATTCCACAGGCCACATGGACAGCATCATTACCTTTATGTGTTGCAGATGTGTGGCGCTGTGCAGAGCAACCGGTGGACACACTGAGCTGTGATTTCTGCTCAGTGACCCCACTCTCATCGGCCTGGTGTCATTTCCAAAATGTTGCACACTTGATTATTGCATGACGTCCATTCCTACATTAAAAACAATGGATGTATTTTATTTGAATATTTCACGCTGTTTGTTTTCGTTCGTTATAACTGCAGCATAATTCTGTGTGATTTGCTTGAGCAAACAGAGCACTAACGATTCATTCTTTATTTCAGTCTCTGCTTACAGTTTGCAGGCCGATCTCGTCTACTTTGTCAAAGAATCCTGCAAGTTGGCACGATGAAAAAGGCATGTGTAAGTAATGCTATTAATCGTTGTCAAGTTCTGCTCTATTGTTGTTTGTTTCAGGGCCGTGGTTTCGTACATACTGTCTCATTGTTATACCGGGAAGCATGAATAGAACAATGCTTTGCTGATGAAGACCACCATCTGTGCTTTTTTTTTTTTTTCATGACCACTCAGGATGTGATAGGAATTAGAAAATGTGAGGCTGTGGCCCAGCTCAGAAACTGCTCAGGAGGTTGTACTGATCCTCTATCCGTCAGTTATACTGTCTGTGGAGTCTCCTCTCCCCTCCAACAATCCTCTCCACTTAATGGCTTAAAGGGCCTTTGGATTGTGGAATGCCAGAGCGATGGTGAAGATTAGGTGCAGCGCCGGTTTACTGGGAAAGTCAACAGGAAATTACAGTTAGGTAACAACCCAACGAATGTGACAGGCTGGATAATTTGGGTAATTTAGGGCAGAAATCATCAGTGAAAATCCTCATTAAGTTGAATAATTAGATACAGTTGAAACCAGACATTTACATCCACCGTATTAAAACACACATAACCTTTTTTTTTTTCTTACTATCTGACATTAAATCAGGATTACCAACATTATTTCTAGTTGCTAAACGCCAGAATAATGAGAGAAGAAGAGATTTTTTGAGATTTCTTTATTACTTCCTATAAAGTCAGAGGATTACGTCCATCTCCTCAGTATCTGGTAGCGTTGCCTTTAAACTGTATGACTTGGGTCAAGCGTTCAGGGTTTCCTTCCACAAGCTTCTCACAATAGTCTGATGAGTTCTGGCCCATTCCTCCTGACAGAACTGGTGGAACTGGGTCAGGTTTGTTGGTCTCCTTGCTCCACTGATGTTCTCCAGGATGGAGATCAGGGCTTTGTGATGGACACTCCACAACACTGACCATGTCCATTTGGAAGACCCATTTGCGGCCATCTATTTGTGAAGTGCACCAAAACTCCCCCACAGCATGATGCTGCCTCCCCCGTGCTTCACACTTGCAAGCTTCCCCTTTTTCCTCCAAATGCAACGATGGTCATTAAGGCCAAACAGTTCAGTTTCAGTTCCATCAGACTACAGGACATGACTCCACAAATAAAGGTCTTTGTCCCTGTGTGCATCTACAAACTGTAATCTGAAGCAATGTTAGTAATCCTAATTGATCCTAAACAGGAACAGTTTAGTCTGATTTCATGTCAGACAGTGAGGAAAAGAAGGTTTTATGTCTTTTCATACGGTGGATGTAAACTTCTGGTTTCAACTGTACTTCCATCATACAAAGACTGGCTTTCTAACATATTGTTGCCTGCATGCAATGCTGTTCACTTGTTATCTGGTTCATTGTGTGTCCAACTTTACTTCTGAGCAGTGAAGGATGAAAGTACTTCAGTAAACCGTAAACAGTAGTACCAATGCATCAATGTAAAAACGCTCTATTATAAGTGAACAACAACTCCAACATTCAAAAAGTAAACATGGTATCAGCAAAATAGACTTCAAGTATCAAATATAAAATTACTGGCTGTGCAAACAAACGTCATGTCACTGGAATATTAATACATAACATTGTTATATAGAATAGAATAGAATAGAACAGAATAGAATAGACTTTATTTATTCCAGACCTGGGAAATGTACACGCCACAGCAGCATCCAAAAATTTGGAAAGTACATAAAAATAACAGTAATTAGGTAAAATGCATCCTGGTGTCGGCACACAGCAGGTCCAAGGCCCACCGTCTCCGGTTGGGCAGTCTGCATGCTGGCTGAATGTGGGGAGAGTGGTAGAGAGCGATGTATGGTTCAAGTCTCCTGAGATGATGATCAGAGACTGAGGGTGTGATGTCTGCAGCTGGGACACTGAACTATGGATGAGTTCACAGGCTGCAGCAGCATCAGCCGAAGGGTGGGATGGAAACTACAACCACCAGGATGTGTGAAAACTTCCTCAGCAGGTGAAACGGCCGCAAACCAACCGGCAGCAGTTCAATATCCTTCGTGCAGCGCTGCTCTTTAACACTAACGTGCCAGCGTTACACCATCTCTCATTTGCTAATACTGCTAAGTTTAGCTGCTTTATCTACGGTTAAGTAGTTTAGTCCCGTGTCTTCCAACCCAAGGTTCAGGCCCCTCCAAAGGGTCACACAACGAACCTGAGGGGTCGTGGGATGATTAATGGGAGCAGACAGACGAAAACAACGTTTCAATAGACATTCATTATCTTGTGCTTTTCTATAATCTGTGCTGTTTTGAACAAATTGCATCATTTCTACCTCAGCTGCTGAAATGAAACCGTGTGAGACATTTAGGGAGGAAATGTCTCTTTAGCAGAGCTGTTAGCAACTCGTCTGAAATGTTTGCTTGCTTGTTTGGAACAGAGTATAAGCTAAAGAGAGAGGAAAGCAGCAGTTAAATGGGTAACAAAGAGTTTTATGTGAGGTGGTCTTTAATATAAAGTTTCAGTTTTAGAAGTGACCCAAGCTGTCGGATGAATATCGTAAAAAGGTAAAATCTTTTTCATCAGGAAAGAAGAGGAAGTAGAAAACAGAAACACTTTAATAAAGTATCCTAAAGGTGTACTTGATTTATACCATTTTAGAAAATATCCTCCTGTACTTTCCAGGACATTATGAACGTATGTGTCTTGTGTGTTTCTTCGAGCCTCTGTGAGCAAAGAATGAAAAGGACTTTTATCCTCTTAGAAATAAAACTTTATTTAATTGCCGTTAAAATCTGAGGTTACTGCTGCATGTGTCTTGTTGGTTTTATTCACATTTACAGCTTTCCACAAGAACAGCGGAAAAACCGATTCCCCACACTACTTACAAATAACAACAACAGGCCTCAAGGAGTCATCTGTGATGTTACAGCTCAGATAAACCTTAAGTCACTGAGGCAGTTTAAAAAGGTCACGTTGAACTATTTGTTTTAAGTCCTTTGATTATTTTCTCTCACATAATTCACTTTCTTCTGGTTCGTAAGTCGTGTGTAAAACTCCTTACCGGTGTTCCTGCTGTTATTGTTGTTTTATTCTTGTTTCTGCCACATTAACAACAAACAAACAAACAAAACCTACATGTCTCCTATTGAACCCTCTTTACAGGGAACATCTGTTGCATATTGGCACACAGTAACATTTGCTAACAGTGTATTTGGTGGTATGTGATTGTGTGACATCAGTCCAACCACTAGATGGCAATACAGGGATCCAAATCACCACAGAGCTGTTTTTATTGCCTGCTCTTGTCTTTTCTCCAGCTTGTCTCACTTAAGTGCAGCCTGTCATGCTTCCATAGTTCGACATTTAGTTCTCTTCAAACAATTTGCATGTAACTGCTGCAGATTCCACAGCTGAACATGTGCAAGAGCTGCAACAAACACACTGTTGGTGCGTAAATCTGCCAGAATCCCGCTTTATAAGACACATCAAAGTACCGTGGCTCTCCGAGGAACGCAGAAACGTGACTGAGGTGAAGCAAATTACGCACCGGAGTCACCAAAACATCTCGTCCAATCATAGCCCTGCTGTTGCGCACGGGGCCGTGGTTTGCGCCTTGGAGACATTCTGCCAGCTGAGAGGTGGTCTTTGTATGACAGAGCTGAACAAGGGCTCCTGACTCTGCAGATCTGAGGGAACAGACACTGCCACAGCTGCTGGGATCAGAAGTTTAGCTCACAGAGAGTTGAGAGGCTGCAACAAACTGCAGAACAAACCGTAGAGGCGCACGGAACCAGCAGCAGCAGCAGCAGCAGCACCGGAGGGGCTCCTTTATTCCACTGTGTCTGGCTGATGCTGTGCACTTCATAAACTGTTCACAATAATTTTCAGTCCATGTTTGAGAGCCCGATGTCTCTGCCTTTATCTCGAGACTCACCCTAAGGTTCCCACTGGCGAGAACAAAACATCCAAGAACTCTGTCCGAGAAGACTCTTGGATCTGAAATGGGCAGCAGACTGATGTGGCTGCTGCTGCTGCTGTCAGTGGCGTTTACCGGCGGGCAGGACGCAGGCACCGGGGCCGCAAAGGAGGACCTCCCGGAGGGCGCATCCACCCTGGCGTTCGTCTTTGATGTGACCGGCTCCATGTACGACGACTTGGTCCAGGTTATCGAGGGGGCGTCCAAGATCCTGGAGACATCCCTGAGCAGACCCAACAGGCCTTTGTATAACTTTGCCCTGGTGCCCTTCCATGACCCAGGTAATGCCAACTAACACACGAGCAGGGGAAGCCTCAGGCTGCGGTGGTCGCTCTGGGTGCTCTCCTCATTGCGCATGACTTCTCTCTGCTTTTCAGTGGTGTGACTACGTGTTTTGTGATTATTCCGAGTTTGCTCTTTGCAGTCGAAACAAAAGCGGACAGAAAAGTGAGAAATGTGATAGTTTGCTCACAATCCGCCCTTTGAATGCCTAATGTTCCTCACACCTCCAGAGGAGGGACTCTGGGGGATTTCGTCTCCGCACACAGATGTTCAGCCTGGCGGTCACTATCATTAGCATTCCGCCAGGGTTACTGTGTGGCTTTAGGTTTGCAATGCAGCTTGATGATTATCATCACCCTTGGGTGCTCTCTCATTCTGAACTCTGATGCCGAGACAATATATCATTGGGCCATTTAACAGTAACCCTGGCTTGTAGGTCACAGAAACAGTCATATGAGAATAAAGCTTTCCAAATAATCAATAGTAAATAATCAGGACTCTGAATGGGAGCTTAGCAATCCAAATAGAGCTACTGGAGGACATATATCAATGTGTTTACAGTAATTACATCACTTATGGAGGGAAACTCTTTCTTGCAGACACAACCACAGCTTTACTCAAGTGGACATTTGAAGTTTGAGCGTTTTTGCAGTGCAGAGACTTTGCCTACAGTCCCTGTAATAATTAATTTATGTGGGAGTGGAAAGGTCACTTATCTGCTCACAGAAACACTTTCTAATGATGCTGTCATGTCAACTCATGGTGGGGGGTTTGTGTGCTTATTTGGAGGTGAGAAGTTGAAGGTGCCCACCTGCGAACACATTCAACCATCAGAGCGAGACCTGCTGCAGTGTGTTGAGATGGTGTGTGTGTGTTGCAGTGAAACTCCACAGTAGATCACATAAAGGTCAACTGAGCTGCCTTTAAGCATTGTACTGTACCACTTATAACATATTGTTTTTGTGCAGTGTCCTTCCAAACGTGCTTCGCCACTATAAACGTGCCCCCTTACTGCTTTACAATCTGTACGTTCAAAATGTTCCCAGTTACATCTAAAAATACACTCAGCAGTTCCAGAGACAAACGGATCCAGGAGATCTGAGGGAGAAGAAAAGAGATGAATAGACAGAGGTGATCTGTGCGGCGAAGACACAGATTCCTATTCCAGATGTTTTTTCTCTGCTAAATTTCAGCATGTCAGAGATTCTTATGAAGCAAATTTCCTTCGCCATTGTTTCAGTCTGCCAGCTTTGCGCCTCGAATAATAATTATATTCAAGGAAGAAATATGCTCAGTGTACACAAGTGTGACAAATGATGATTCCATTATTGTGTGCCTCTTGGGGGAAAGTAAATCTTGGATCATTAGCAGATGATAGAAGAGCTGTGGTGCTCTGTATCTTGGATAAAGCAGTGAAAGAATCCTGTGATTATACCATGTGTTTAATCTCAGGACTTAGTTCATATGAAGTCTCGCTCTCACTGGGAAGTAATTGGGAGATTTTCCTCGTACAGTCAACTGCAACCGCTTAACTCAGAGCTTCAGTGTTGACTTCTCTTTTAAAAAAAACCCTCTCTTCTTTGTATTTGTCCCTCACCAGCGAGTGACGTTCTTTTGCTTCTTAAAATGTTTACGAGGATGTCAGAATGTGTTCTCCAAAACCCCCAGGGGAATAGAGGAATGATTAGCACAGCACACTGCGAGCAGGGGTAGCTGAACATTTTGCCAAATGTTGTTCTGACCCTGTCTCTCTTTCCCACTTTTTGTCCTTTTCCAACAATATCCCAGACCCTTGGAGAGAATCGGTTTTGTTTTCATAGGAACTTTTATTAAGGCTTTGTTTCATTCTGACACAGATCCATTTTCTCTTCATGCAGCCCAGTGCGATAACGCCGTCCCTCCTGTTTGATTTGGCTCCTTTTAAATCAGAGCTTCCCTCTTTATTTACTCTGCAATCTGACACAGTAAACATGAGAGTGTGTGTCTGTAATCTGCCTTTCTGTCAGTGTCTGTGTGTGCTTTGCCTGCGAGTGTGAAGCAAGAGTGTCAGGAGGATGCCTGGATATTGGGGTCAGGCCTGTGTGGGAAGATCAGTCAGGAAGCCTCCCCCCTTTCCTCCATCCTGCGGGGAGAGAAAGAAAGAAAGAGGATACTTCACAAGTCATTTTTACTGAGGTACAGGGGTTGGCTATTTAGCACTACAGTCTGAGAACACTCCAATGAAACAGTGTTAGGGCTGAACTTCAGCTGTCCTGTTGTGTTTTTATTTCATATCCTGGTTACCTCTGAAAGGGGCATCTCACTTAGAAATGAATGTGTCTCTGCATGTGTGTGTTTGTTTGTTGCTCATGTCATTTGGATGAGTGGTTCTTGAGAAACACAACTAGAAAAACACATAATGACAGGCGGTGACTGTGTTAGAGCTGGGAGAACTCACCGAGGTAATCCATTATATCGATTAGGACAGATGACTGTGTCCAGTCAAAGCATGAATTTTCCTTTTCCTTTCACCGCCGTCATTTATCGTTAACTCTTTCCAGCTATTTCTTCTGCTTGCCTGGGTTGCTAAGCAGGCCATTCCAGGTGTCCCTCTGTCCAACAACACTTTCCAGTTCCTCCTAAGGCGTCCCAAAGTGTTCCCAGTTCAGCTGAGATATGTAATCCCTCCAGCGAGTTCTGGATCAACACCAGGGTCTCCTTCCAGTTGGGTGTTCCTGGAAAACCTCCAGAAGGATGTGCCTCTGAGGCATCCGAATCAGATGCCCAAACCAACTCAGCTAACTCCTTTCAACCCAAAGGAACAGCAGCTCTACCCCGAGCTCCTCATCGTGTCTCTACGGCTGAGCCTTACTATAGCAGACAAGGCATTAACTAGTGTGTGTTTAAATGCTAAAGTCCCTCTCTGGTCATTGCTTGGAAAAACTCTTGGTGTTGTCAGTGTGTTGTCTGTAGAAGGGTTAGCGTAGCAGCCTTCCCACAAGTTGACCTGGGACTGATTCCTGGAGGATGCAGATGGTTTTCATGAGTCTCCTTTGGGATTGATAGTTTTATCTTATTAGAGTTACATCTTTAGGAGTTTTTTTCTAATGAAAATAATCCCTTCATGCCTTGATATAGCTTCGATGTAACTCTACAGTGTCCTTTCTATGAAGTCCCACCTCTTTTTCCTTCACCCCTCATTGCTTGCTGCAACTTGAGCACACCAGCTCACCTATGACTGAAAATGCTCAAACACTGTGGAGTTACTCAACAGCTACAGCAAGTTGTAATATTGGAGTAATTCAGCCACACATGTCTGAACTACCAGGTGGCTCAGTGGTTAGCACCGTCGCCTCACAGCTAGAAGATCACCGGTTCACGTCCCAGTGAGGACGATCTGTCTGGTTGGAGTGGGTTCTCTCCGGGTTCTCTGACTTCCTCCCACAGTCCAAAAACATGTTGAGGTTAATTGGTGATTCTAAATTGTCTGTTGGTGTGAATTTCAGGGTCTCTAAGTGTAGCCCTGTGATGGACTGGTTACCTGTCCAGGTGAACCTGCCTTCACCCTGAGTCAACTGGGATAGGCTCCGCCCCCCATGACCCTGGTGAGTGTATAGATGATGGACGGATAGATGGATGTTCAAACTGGAAACCTGTTCAGAAGAATATTGATGTGGAAGCTCCACCCTGAGAGCTCGCGTTGACTCCTTTGAAAACCACAGAAGTCTGACTTTGTGTTTCTGAGGGTTTTGTCGGTGCACTGCTGTTTCAAGGTAGAAATGACTTCTTAGTTTGTTAATGAATTTCTTAATGGTTGAATACAAATAAACTTTATTTTTATCAATAAAAATACTGTTCAGTATCCACTATGTTAAAACACCATCTGAATTAGTTTGGCTGGTTAATAGTTTTGACAAAGCAATACCAGAACCCAGCTAGTCCACCTGATCTGAACAGGCACATTATGAACAAGTTTACTTATTGAGAGAAGTCAATAAGAGCGTCCTGGACTGTTTATATAAGAGCTGTGCACATGGACGTCTTTTATCTTTAGCTATAGCCTAGAGAACGATGAGTAATGCGCCATTAAGGAATTCCGATTTTGACTGAAAAGTCAAAGGTGTATTACAAACAGACTCGCTGGACTCACGGAACATTTATTTGAGAGTTTACAGCCAAATAAACGTTATTTCACAACTCTCATACCATTCCCAAGCCAGGAAACACGGCCTCTATCCCAGGACTGATGCCAACTTGTCTAGTTTCTAATTAAACAGTAATAAAGAAGCGCTTCAGTACGTACAGGTGACATGAAATAAGACGCATGTGGCCACAAACTGGCTTCCTGTGTCCACTGGGGTTGTGCGTTGCCGTTTTCACGACTCTGCTGACGTCCTTACATACTCATGCTCGTCCTTGTAAACACTACCTTGCTGTGAGAGGGTGTGTTTGTGTGAGTATTATCCGTGCTTGTGTGAGTGTTTAATTGGCTGAGGTTGAGATGGGTCAGAGCCCAGTGCCTTGGGTCATCAGGGACCCAACACACTCACCATACTCACAAACATTCAGTGTAGTCAGAGAGCATTAAGGCAAGGACGCGTTCTTGTTGTGTTGTCTGTGTACTCCGGTGTGATGAACATGAAATGAAACAGCGACGACGAGGTTTACGTTCTGGCTGTTTTAATTTGAGGGTCTTTGCATCCACATCAGATGGTATGTCGTAGCCCTTTGAAACAGTGTTTAGCGGCATCCTTCAATTTTAAGAGACAAAAAGTACAAGACAAGCTGATATAAACTTACACTATACTCACACAATTAAGTCATTATATTTAATATTTGGTTGCAAAGTCTAAGTCTCTGATCCGTGGTATCTGTCCTGGTAAATCTCTGCCAGTTCTGTCCTGCAGCCATCTTCACTGCTCGCTTGTTTTGGATGCTTTTAATTTTGTTTTCAGCGAGTGAGACGTGCAACCAGTTGGACTGAGGTCAGCCGACTGCCTCGGACAGGCATGATAAGACT